ATCAGAAAAAATGATTTTTTCGCAGCGTCGAAAATTGGTCGCACACAATTTTGCTTTTTTTGAAAACAAAAAGTACAGAATTAAAATAAGATTTACTTTGTAAATTGTAGTTCTTTTCACGTTGCATCTCCTGGTATATTTTGTTTTTTTTAAAACAACGTATTAAGTGATGCAAAAATGAAACGAAAAAAGGCCGTTTTTTTTGTCCGAGGGAGACTACACAAGGTAGAGTTGTATTGAAATAAAATTATACGGAGACTGCACGAATTCATACTTACCTTTACGTTGATCAACTCAACTTTCTTTTCTTACGCACTGCAATGTATTGATTCATTCTGCCGTCACATGTATAAGCAACTCCATGAGAATGTTTACATTTCATTTCACTATAGGCATCAGTTAACTGTTTTTGAATATGTTTGGCTTTTTTTTTGTTATTAAGAAACTTGTTATTGTTTTGGTGTCACACTGCACAATCGATGTATTCACCTGACACAAAAAAAAACAATAACTTTCTTTCAAGTAAAAAAGTAACATTTTATCAAGGAGAATAAATATTGAAGATATTAGAAAAAAATTCAACTCTAACTAATATACATATAAGTACCTTGAATCAAATTGAATAGAATATTACACATCTATTTGCAATCGAATTCATAAGCAATTGTAAATGTTTGTTTCAACAACTATTTTCTTTAGTAATTAAAAAGTTCAATTGAATACTTTCAATCATAAGACAAAATGATACCTATCACTATCAAGACAAAATTATTTATATTTTACTGTAAAAGTCTATAAATTAATCATCTCTATTGAACTAGGAATAAAATTTAAGAAAAAAAGATAATTGTGACTGAAAATAGTATATAACTATTTTATTTATCATACTTAATATTAAAACACAAGCACACACACATGTGAGTCAATTGAGATTACTTATCAATATCAAACAAGTCTACGAAAAAAAAAAAGGTTCACCAGAAGGAAACAAAAACAAAAAACTAAAAAATAAGAAAAATGACAATAGTGGAAGTGAAAACAGACGAATATTTGTCTGCCTATGTTGCACAAGAAAAATGAATCTATGTATTTCGAATAGTGGATAAATTTCTGTCTGCTTCTTGTATTTCATCTAATTGTTTACTGAATATTTTCAAAAGTTTACCAGAAAACTCTTCTTGTGAAACAAGTAATTTCGATACTTTTTGTCTTATTTTTTCATTTTTATCGCTATTATCAGGTTTAGAATGTGCCTAAGAAAAGAAAAAGAAAAATGTATAAAATTAAAAGAAAAGAATTCAATTAAACGAAAATATACTTGAAAACTTTCGTCTGTAGTAGACATAATATCATCGAGATCATCTTGAGTTAAATTAAGTATTTTACTTGCAGTATTCATTGCTGTATCATAACCAGGCAATGTCATTGAAAATGATTCACGTTGCCTTTGATGTTCACGTGCTCTTTTAAGAATATCATTCATTTGTATACTTCGTCGAATCATTTCATGAAGCAAACCCTAAATAAATAGAAAAGTTGTTAGCACAATTCCTATGAGATTACAACATGAAACATAATGTAGCTGCTATTACTAATTACAGGAAGATTGTTTTATTCTATCGATTTTGGCTCACATTTCAATATCCTTTCACTTAATTCTCAAGAAATGCAATAATGAAGTAGTTAAGATATTGCAGGGGAAGAGAGTGCATTGCTAAGGTGTCTGTCGAGGTCTCTGACTAGCATCGATCACAGTCTGTAGGGAAGTTTAAATTTTTACCCTCATACTTTAACACTGCTTTTAGATCGTGTTTCAAAAAAACATATAATCAGCAAAAAATTATAGAATTATTTTCTTCTTACATTAGTAAATCTCTCATATTCATTTAAACGTCGTTGTGTACGATTTAATTCTAATGTAATTTTACTTAATGCATCTTGACTTTTTGCATTTAATGCTAATAATTGTTGTTCAGATGAACGACGAGCTGTTAATAATTCTTGATTTAACTGTTCTTGATTAAGACGATATTGTCGAAGTTGTTGTTCTTCTGAACGATGTTTAATTTGAATATCTTCAAAACGTGTTTTCTATTTAGATGAGATAAAAATAATTAAAAGTTCAAAGAAATAATAATAAATAAAAAAATATCTATTACTAATTTCTGATGTTCTTCAACCAGTTGACCATAACGTGTTTCAAGAATTTGTTTTTCTCGTGTTACAGCTTGTAAACGATTTTTATATGAATCGAGCTAGAAAAAATTAAATAAAGAACTATCCGTCAACAACAAAAAACATATGTCGTTAGAATAATCATTTACGATATGCTGTAAAACGGTGAAATAAGGCAATAAAAGACATTTGTTACAATCATGAATAGATTTTGCTGGTCTTATTTAGTTTTGAACTACACTTGAATGCTTCTTTAGAACGCTATACTCAATTTAAAATACAATTCATTCGTTTTTTTGTGTACTCAAAAAGTGAGTACACTCTAGAATCGGTCAGTGTGTCCGTCCGGCCGGCCGGCCGTTAACACGATAACTTTTGAAAGGAGAGTCCAATCGCGATGAAATTTTCTACACAGTTCAGTCTTAACAATGTCTCGGTCGAGTTCGAAGATGAGCAGGATCCGTCAAGAAATGGCTGAGTTATCGAAAAAATTGTCATTATTGAGAAGATCATCCCTGAGGGGGAGTACAGGGATTTTTTCAAAAAAAATATTTTTCTCANTAAGAATCCGAGATGAACTACCTCGCATAAGTTTCATATGAATAAATTCTAGTCTTCAAATTAAAATTACTGGTTTAGTTATATAATTAATATAGTATCACACCAATTCAATAACTAAAGCTCGATTGAACTGTTAGTATAATCTCTATGGAGTATAAATAAGATTTATAATAAATCTGTTTTTCATTATAAATGAAGAAAACAGATTAGTCCGTTGATAAGTCACTATTTATTCTGAGTGTGGATTCAGACTGAAAAGACGAAACCGACGGATGTATAGGAATAAAAGCTATGTCTAACTCATATCCATCGTGTTGTTTTATAGTGATTACAGTCAATAGATTTCTATTTCATGAGATAAATTCTCAGAATCTATAGGAAAGAACTTATTGCTAAGATATCTACAGTAAATATGTACGACCTCTGGTGCAATTTATAAAAGAAATATTTACAATCATGTTTTCGTTTTTTATCAAAAATTTGATTCGACTGTGCATTTGTATTTGTAACCATAATTGGTGTTGTTGATGCATTTTGTGTTGGTGGTGTTGCAACAGTTAAAAGATTTCCTGATGAAATAACACTTGCTACAGTCATTGGTTTTGAATATTGTTGAATAATAAGTTTATTATTGTTACTATAATAACTTTTGTTTATTTCTGTATTTTCAATAGCATATGTCGGTTGCTGTAGCTGCTGTTGTTGTTGCTGTTGAGTTGTTGAAATAACAACAACAGATTGTGATACATTTGTTGTCTGTTGCGTTAATGGTGGTTGATGATAAGATGGCAAAAGTACAGGACCTGATGACATTTCAACTATTTTAATTGTTTTTATTGTTTGAGATGAAAAACTACGTGCTTCAATTGTTAATAAATCAATTAATGTTGTTATAACTGATGCTGATGATTGCACTTTAAGTATAGCATTGCACAATTGTTCACCTAAAAATATATTTTATGTTCAATAAATTCTTTTTCTTTGCTATAAACAATCATGAATCGAATTTAAACTACGATTAGGCCTCAAACCTTTGAAGTTCGGATTAATGTTGCTTGGATTCGAAGTCCAACTATAATGGATTTAACAGAAATCAATTTCCAGTCCCAAAACCATTCAATCGATTTGAATATTTCCGATAGATCTCAGAGCACTTGTGAAAATATATAAAGTGCTATGCTAATATTTGAATGTAAATATTTAGTTTTTGCATTCTTTTCTTTTCAGTCTGCCTAGATTATTTATAATCTATGTGATAAGTTTTTTCTTTCAACTTATCTTTACTTAGAGATGCAAAGATGAAGATAGCGAACACATGATAAAACTATGATGGACTTGGATTTTTTCGATTGGAGGAGCCATTTCAAGAAAATAGCTGAATTTTATAAAAATAGAGTAAAGTTTTTCAAGATTCACGAATCCGAATCTGTAAGAGCTTGGTTGAAATTCTCGAATTCGAGTTTCTCATTCGACCAAAGTTTAGTTCTCATGATTTACTCATATACTGTAAAACTCCTTAGATCAAAAGCCCAAATAAATCTAAGACGACCATAATTTTCTCATGTGGTCCCTGTCTTCATCGTTATTCTGTACGGGCATGTCTAAACTAGTGCATCACTCCTTGACGATACCGATGATAACCATAGTTGTTACATTCCTACTTTTACTCTCTGTGACAAATATCAGTTAAAAATGACGGGACTAGAACATTCGGTTTTTCGTATATGTCTATGAGTAAATTTACCTAATTCTGATAATTGATATAAACATTCTAATGTATGTACTAATACAAGTATATCCGATACATGAATAAGTCTTTGAATAATAATATCAATAAAATCAATTAAATAAATTCCATTATCATTTCCAGCTTGAGCTAAATTAGCAATAATTTCAAGTGCACGAATAATTTTTAAACGATCCTCTTGTCCATTATTTTCATTACCATTTAACATATCATTTAATAATTGTCGAATTAAACATCCTTCATCATTACTAATTAAACGTAAATGCATATATAATGCTAAATTAGACCATATATCATAAGCATATTTTTGTAATTCAATTTTGTTTTCACAATATGATATTAATAATAAAAATATATAAGTTATTGATGTTGATGAACGTATTGTATCAAGTAAATAAATAGCATTTGTACGATCAAATGAAAGATTACGTATTATCATTAATATTTGTTCAATACGAAGTTCTTGTTGTTGTTGATTTTCATTTGAATTAAGATTAAAATTATTATATAAATGTTTATGATTTTTATTAATATCAATATTTAATAATTGTTTAACAATTTCAGATGAACATGAATTAATCCAAAATTGTTCCATATAATAATTTAAATGTTTTGACCAAATATTATCATATAGAATTTTTAAACAATGATCATTATTTGATGTATCAGTCGATATAAATAAACCAATTTGACGAAAAAGTATATCTAATAAACGTGGACATTTATATAAATGAAATAATGTTTGATTATTTGTTGTTGATGATAATAATAATAAAGTATTTAATGTAAATGTTAATTCATTTGGAAAACCACATAATAATGCTAATTCTAATTTTTCATATTCATTTCGACGAACAAAATCACGAAAAAGACCGTATTGAGCACGTAATGAATCTAGTAAAGAATAATATTTTATTTTAAAATTGAATGTTTCTTTTTCTTTTATTTTTTGAAAATTTATTTACCGGAAACGACATGTTGACCATGGTTATATGACTGTGGCACACGCTGTAATTGAGAAACATTACGTCGTTTAGAATCTTCATCATCATCATCATGTGAATCGATATTTTCACCATTGCTTATTTTTTCAAATGCATATAAATATCTATTTAAAGAAAAAGAAATATTTAACAACAGATTTGACTATAAGTAGCTCTAAATGTGACTATGAAAGCATAAGGCAGCGAAACTTCAAGATTTGAGTACAGTGAAGTCAGTCTGGTCTAGATTTATGCAGTATATCGAAATTTTTATGCAAACGTCAAAATATTTTACCACTTTCGTAGAAAAGCAGGCTTAGAAAACACTCGATTTTTGTATGACTAAATGTTGAACCCTAAATTCCCAATAATTAGAAGTAGTATTCCTTTGTAACAAGTGAAGAACTAAACGAGAGATTTGAATTATACAAACTAAAAGCTGCGAAAATTTTTCTTCGTCTTCAATGGCTAAGTTCGCATGTCTAAGAAATGATTTCATTATAGTGAGTAAAGTCACAGTATAATTCCATGTCAAAATTTAATACAAACAAATATTGACGTATTTCTTGAGTGTAAGTCTTTTGACACAAGTAAAGAATTTTTTCTGAATCATACCACTTCCATATGTGAGTTGGAAATAAGAAGCACTAACTGTATTTCATCTGAATTCTCTAAAAAGATTCGCAATCCTCGTCCTCCCTATGCTGCACTTATCAGCGTTGATTTGAAGCGTTCATTTAGCTATGTGTATGTTTTTTAACTAGTTTGAACAGAGAATTATATCACTAAATTAACTATTCTAAAGACTATAAACTTCTAATTGTGTTCAAGAAATAAAAGATATAGTTAGATATAAGCAAACTTGTCTTGTTTATGCCTGTCTAAGTATCGTAAAAGAAGAATATTAGAAATTAAATGAGTTACAGTTCATATTGAGACTATCGGATTTCAGTAATGATATTCTACGAAGAGATATACTAGTTTAGAGTTTTCTAAGTTTCATGAGGATATATCCGTAATAATGAAGACGTAAGATTATTCAATTATCTCTAGTGACTCTTTAAAGAATTGGAATGACCACCCAGGAATTGTTGCAACCTGAAAAACGAAAAAATCACTTTAGCAGTAGCAAGCTTATCATTGCATATAAATACGACAATATGGTTAGAGTTGCTCATTTTATGCTCAAAAATCAAGAGATAACATGAGCTGAATCCATAAATGAAAAAAGAACAATGCACAAATAGGAACTATTTCAAAAAGATAAATCATCTGGATTAAGAAGAATTTCATAACTCGATATGACTAGTGTAGTTTGAACAACATTGTAAAAAAACAATATCAGAAGACTAAATGTTAACCAATTTCATAACTCTCCACTGATCTATTCCACAGAAAAAATTCTGAATACGTGTTACGAGAACCATCATTTTATTCATCACTAGCTTTTACTTCTATAATGAAATTTTCCGTAGCAAAGCATTTTCTCAATCGTTAAAAATACAGCTTCGTGAGACTTTCTTGGTGACATGTTCTATACGTTTAGCATAAATAGTATTATAAACATTTGTTAGTGATCTTACCGAATATAAATATTTTTTAAAGCTTGTGTACCATTAAGACACGATGAATCAATACCAAAATTATTTGCAATAGTTGACCATAATTGTCGATCATTTACTTTATCCCAGCCACCAAGACCAACAACTGTTGTGTATAGTGCTTGTAAATCAACAACTTGTCCAGCAATTGTTGGTAAACAACGAAATGTTGTTCTAGAAGTAGACGCATAAATAAGCTTTATTTTTTTGTTTTATCAAATGATACATACTGGCGACATCGATGAAATTCTCGAAGACGTTTAAGAAATTCTTCATACGAAGATAATGGTGCGGAAGGAGGAGGAAGAGCTTGTGATGAATTATTATTATTCGTTAAATCAGTATTTGTTGAGTAAAAATTTGTGTTTGTCACAGTTGAAGGTTGAGTTGATGAATGAATAAGAAAAACAGACGATGACGATGATGATGATGACTGTATATTATTTGTTGTTGTTTTACATAAAATTGGACGTGGTTGAATCGGTGGTAACGTTGTCATTATTCTTGTTGACTCTAACTTTAAAAGTGTGAGACAACAACACAACAAAACTAAATTGAATAAACTTGATTTGACGTTAGTTCAATGTGAGAATGGCGATGAATCTTAACCAATGAAAACTTTGGAATGGAAAACCTTATTGATGCTTTTTTTTATTTTGAAATAATCAATTCTTTATTGAAAAAAGATTTTTTTTTCAAATAGAAAACTGTAGCGTTTCATAGTCATAGAAAATCGATAAAAGATAAAATCAGTAGATGGCAGCACTATTTAATAATCTTTATATAGTTTTGATTTAATTTATAAGAGGTGCTTCCTGCATTCTCATTGATGATTGAACTGTTTAGTGTGGACGAGTGTTGATTTAAAACAGAATTAAGTTAATTCACTTCACTTTTGTAGTGTGTTTGACCCCTTAATGAATAAATCGTCTAGAATAGACGATTTAAGTTGGAATAGACCAATCACATTGGTTAATTCAACTTTAAGTTAATTCATTTTTTTCTGTCGGTTTGAGGCTTATGGGGCAATGTTCTGAATAGCAAGTGTACCATACAGAATAGAAATGTACGAAACCCTTGCTAAATTCAATTTACTGCTGCTGACAAAAGTAGCATGTACGCAATACACTCTGTCTATGAAATTAACACTTGGTTCTTCGCCGAAAATTTTTTTTATTAATGAATTAATATTAATATGAGTGAACGGTAAAATGTACAACACGATCTCTTCTGAGCAATTTTACTATCGACTAATCCTTTTGTTTATTCAATCTTACGCATTTGTTTTACACTTCTGATCAGACATTAATATGAACACGGTTAATTTTCTAGATTATTTGATAAACTTCGATCTCTACACTGTGGTACCCTTTGCTTACGAAAGCTAAGTGTACACATACTCTTTGCTAAGTCAAACAAAGTGTACGAAAACATTTTGATTCTAAAGTCCATTGAAAACCTTACTATGAGATGAAACACCAGAAAAAATAAATTGTCTAAAAAAAAATGATTTAAGTTCGAATAAACGAATTAGGTTGCTTAATTTATTTAATTTTTGCAGTCTGTTTGGGACGCAATGGAAAAATACGTTGTTGTCCGTATTGACGATATCGGTCAAATAGAACAAATGATTGTTTCCGTATAGATATTGACATTCATAAGTTGAAAAGAATAGATAAATGAACATAAACATGGAATATTCATGTGTTGGATTTAACGATTTACCTGATGAAATCCTTATGATTATTTTCAAAAAAATGAACAATTTTGAAGTGCTTTATTCTTTACAAGGTGTTAATCAACGATTAAATAAAATTGTTCAAGATTCGCCTTTTACAAGTCGTTGGACTTTTGTCAAAAGATGCTCAGATAATTTTATCGATGTATTTCGTTATAATATGATGTTTAATCGATTTTGTTCACAAATTTTACCTGAAATTCATGATAAAATCAAATGGCTTGATCTTGAATCATCATCTATGAACAATGTTTTATGTGCTGTTGATTATCCTAATTTATATGGTCTTGGCCTTTATAATATTAATGAAGAGTCAGCTCGATCTCTTATTACTGGTAAGAAATTTCAATTGAATTATTTTTATTATAAATAAATAATAAAAATAATTCTCAAACTTATTGTTACAAATGATTAGATCATTGAATGAATATACTTAGGGTTGTCCAAAAGTAGTGGAGGAGATAGTTTTTTTTTTCTTATAGAAAGCTTGAAAAAATTTTCTTTTTTTTATAAACCGATAGAGCGTCTTTCGCTCTATTTTCTATACCATTTGATCACTATTCAACTAATATCATAATAATAAAATTTCGATAAGCACTATTTTTATTGAAAATTAGCTGATAGCATTAGGTCATAACGGATGCAGCACTTTTGCATTTCACTTTATGATCACTTGATGCATTGTATTAAAAAACTAAAATATACAAGCACAAGATGTAGCACGAAAAGCTCTACAATTTACAAAGAACAATTATAAAAAGATGACATAAGAAAAAACGAAGTCGTCTTTTATTAAAAATAGTCTCGTTTTCGCAGCGTCGAAATTTGCACGTTCAGAGTCTTGTTCATTTTGAAAACAAAAAAGTATAACTATAAAATAAGCGATCTTATGTAAATTGTAGAGCTTTTCATGCTACATCTTGTGCTTGTATATTTTAATTTTTTAATACAATGCATTAAGTGATCATAAAGTGAAATGCAAAGGTGCTCAATCCGTTATGACCTAATGCTACAAGCTAGTTTTCAACAAAAATAGTTCTTATCAAAATTTTATTATTATGATATTAGTTGAATAGTGATCAAATGGCATAGAAAATAGAGCGAAAGACGCTCTATCGGTTTATAAAAAAAGAAAATTTTTTCAAGCTTTCTATAAGAAAAAAAAACTATCTCCTCCACTACTTTTGGATAACCCTCAAGTATTAATATTGTATATATGTTTAGATGAAACTCTTTCATCTGGTATATTTAAAAATCAGATTAGAACACTTTTTATTACAATTGATAATAATGATGATAGTTATGAAGGCATGTTTTTGTGGTCGACAAGGATAGTTAATTACATTTTGAATGCTTGCACTAGTATAATTTATTTAACATTATATGAATCATTGTATAAAAATCGTGTTCGATTATTGTTTGATGATGAATTTCTTCCTACTTTTCGTTCTTGAACTCTTTTAAAATTGAATATCAGAGTACAATGTTTTGATGATTGTCTTTATCTTCTCGATGGTCGATTTAATCAACTTCATACACTCTGTGTTGATTTGGTTCATATTAATCATCCAGAGGAAATTAAAAATCAAGTTAGTTTCATAAGAAAAATCTTTATATTGTTAAATAACAAAAGAAATGTTATTTTTTATTTTTTAGGGTGATTTACCAAATCTAAAGTGTTTTTCTCTGTCCTGTTATTTAGCAATAAGTTTTTACGATGAATTGATCCTACCACTTCTATATCGAATGTCAAATCTAGAACAGCTTGGTTTGTATATTGCAACTACTATGAATACAACATTTATTGATGGAAATCATTTAAAGAGAGATATTATTAATCGTATGTCACTATTAAATCAATTTACATTTTATATTCATTCATTCATATTTATTTCTAATCAATTGTATTGTCCATCAACAGAAAATATTCAACGCACATTCATTGACTTTCTAAATAATAATATAATTTCTTATGTTGATTACTTTCCAGAAGCAAAACAATGTCAATGTCATATTTACTCTTATCCATCTTTTACGCCATATTACGACAATATTACAAATAATTTTCCAGGTGGATTATACAAATATGTTCGTGTAATATCATTATTTGATGAATATCCTTTTGAACATGAATTTTTTCTTCGAATTCAAAAATCATTTCCATTTGTACAAGAATTAATTGTCATTAATTATAAATCATAAAATGAAAAACAATCTTATGAATCAAACAATGATAGTCAAAATTTATCTCCTATTAAATATGCTTTTCTTAATGAACTTGCTATTAACAGGGTTCATGATGATTATATAGAGCAATTTCTATTTAATACTAAAACATATTTACAAAATAATATTTATCTTCATATCAATTATGAATCTTTACAACGAGTAACACACAATTTTACAAGAGAAAATACACGAATTAACTGTGCTAAAATAAATAAACTAAAATTATACGGTGAAGCAACATATCCAAATACTTTACAAGAATTTTTTCCGTATGCAAAAATATCTTATACCAGAAGATTTTGAAAGACAAAAAATAAAGTATTTTAATTAAAGACAAATAGAATAAAAGAAAAGAAAACTGTCTTGTCTATTGTTGTAAGAAAACAAAATCTATATAGAGATGAAAATGATCATGTATCATAAGTAACAATCTGTGAAATAAATTAATTTTCTTGAAACATATGTGTATAATATATTGAGTTGGAATATGAGTTCTGCATATTTTTTTTTTGTTCCACCATGTACTGTTAACCCTTGAACTAGCAAGAGATAATATCGGGTGTCCCAGGAATAATGAGCCTCCCAGTATTTTTAAGATTTCCTGTCTATTATCACTGTAAGTAAAGCTGTCTTAATTATCAAAAGAAAGCGCTTAAAATTCTCTACAAAACCATATGTGACTAGGCTCAAAAACAGTTTTAGATATATTTGAAAAAAGACGAAAGCTAAAGACATACAGACGGCTGTAAAATGTAAATATGTCATCAAGANGACATCTTTCAAAAAATAAAACAAAAAATATTTTTCAAAAATTCTTGTAGGAGGGTACAGCGATTTCGGAAAAAGTTTTGTTCTTATTTTTGAAGGATATCTTCGTGTAAGGTAATATAGGGTTGTGTACTGACTCAGACTGGGTAGAATTTGTTTTATTTTCAGCACCTCTGTATAATTTTTTCAATGAACTCAAATATACTTTATATAGAAAATCAGGCATTTTTTTGTATTTTATAATGGAGCTTCTGAAATTATTCTATGATGTCTCAGGCGAATTCTTCCATAACTTTGTAGTATTCAATTTGTAGTTTACATCCACACAGATCCAACTTCTATAGGCCTGGTTTCTTTAGAGATGAGGCCCTTCCAAAAATCATAATTTTTGTGAAAATTATGATTTTGTGGAAGGTCTGCTGAGCGATAAGAGTTATCTAAAGAGCTAAAATTTTACCAGAAAAGCTACTAGATTAGGTTCCTGAAAAACTAATATAGCAGTTCTCTAACACGATTCTTTTCATGACATATGTATATGCATCAAGCAAGGATAATTATCATATTTTCATGTACCCGATGCTACTAACTAACTCATGAACAATTCATTTATGTGAAATCATTTTTGTATGACAAATTCAGCAACTTGAAGTGTATTCACAGAAAAACGCCAATATATGGTAATGAATGTTTTATCCATTTTTAGTCTTTTTTGGAGTGTTTTCTATATCATTATTACTCTATTTTTATTTTGATATTCTATTTATCATAAAAGAAAAGAGACAAATAAATATACTTTTTGACTCATGACTATACGTTCGACACGTTAATGGATATTAAAAAAATGTTCTTTTGTAGCACAATATAACTTTATTACGCATACTGATAACATCACTGTATCAATATTTTGCTATATTCTAGTGAATTTGGGATCTCTTAATCTAAAGAAGTTTTAGTGAAACTTTTGTCACAATGATCAGTAAATCGATTTGGACAAAGTCGATGTAAACGTGTCACATGTACGGTGGAATCACTTATGTACATCATTCGATAGTGAATTCAATTGTCTAGAATTTTATAAATAAAAAATAATAGACTTACTGTTATAGCATAAAAGAGTTCTTCTTTAAATGTCGCCGTATTTTCGTTTTATTTGATTACGTTTCTGATCCACTTTATGTTGTAATGCTGCTAAGTCTGCTTCAAATGAGGCTAATTCTAAAAGATACAAAAACAATTTACCTATAAATAAAAACTCATAGTAGTCAATTTATCTTCAACTTCTTTTTGTCGTTCTTCACGACGAATATCTTCAAGTCCATGATCAACTTCATCTTTCAATTTTTTATTCACGTCCATATACAAGTTTCCAACCTTAATTGCTAATTCATTCATATTTGATTCGCTTGTCATCATTGGTCTACAAAAAAAATGTAAATTCCGTGATTATTCTTTTCGCAAAGTCAGTGAATGAGGGTGTGGGTGTGGGTGTGGGGTGTGGGTGTGGGTGTGGGGTGTGGGTGTGGGTGTGGGTGAGTGTGGGTGGGGTCTGAATGTTGATGTGGCTGTTAGTAAAACTGGAAATGGCACCCACACCCACACCCACACCCACACCCACCCACATCCACCCACACCCACACCCACCTCCACCCACATCCACCCACACCCACACCCACACCCACACCCACCTACACCCACACCCACACCCACACCCACACCCCACCCACACCCTAGGTGTGTGGCTGAGTGTGTATAGCTACCATAATACCGTTGGTATTCCGATGTTGTTGATTCATATCTTATCAAGTGGCACAAGAATAAGTATAAGAGATCAAAGGGTGTGGGTGTGGGTATGGATATCGATGTGGTTCGACTACTACTGTTCATCATCACCCACACCCACACCAGCACCCACACCCACATTCACACCCACGCCCACATCCACACCCACCCACACCCACACCCATTCACACCCTTCAACTTATCTATCGCAGTAGCAAATCGAATCCAGTTCAAATCGAAGCGCGGCAAAGCATTCTTGATTATTATGCTTAAAAGTCAATCTATGTAAGCTATCGTCGACTTGACTCGATCGATGGGATTCGGGTATGAATGTGGAGTCGATTCATCTGTCAATACACATCACGCTCCTATCAACAGCCACCATAGAGGTATCATGTTTAGAGAAGTGACAATAAATACTACTCTACATGATAAAACACTTTGCAAGTTGGTGTTGCCATAAAGCGTGCAACGATCTGAAAAAAAATAAACATGAAGCGTGGATGGGTATGGGGATGGGTGTATTCTACTAAACCATAGTCACACCCATATTCAACCTTGGTAGAAAAAGAATAGTAAAGAAAAATCACTTCGTTAATATATTAGCGTAGCGAACTGAAAATGTATTGTCTATGACTATCGGTATGATAATATTTCGTGGCATTCTCAGCATATCGGTAAATTAGGGATATCCCCTATCTTTATTGACCAAGAGCTCGATTTCGAACTGGTCTTAAGGAATGATAGTCTGAAGTACCATGTGTAGTCCATCCAAAACGTTCGTACGTGTGATCACTTTTGAAATGACTCGAGGATAAAAATGGATAGAGACCTGCCGTTTTCACCATTTAAAAGAGCGGTATTAAGAGCATCTGTGTGCCTAAAATTTAGAAGAATGAGGGTGTATGTGAAGAGAAGAGCAAGAACCACACCCAGACCCAGACCCAGACCCTTCATTTCTCATTAGGTTGTTTTTTTCTTCTTTTAGATGAATAAAAACAACGAGTACATGCATAAACTCACTTATGATATGATTCCATTGTTTCAGTCATATCAATTTAAACAACAAATACATACTTAATTTGACTGATCACATTATGGCATTTTTTTCATGTAGATGTATCACAAGAACGAAAAGGGTGGTGGTATATTTTGTGTTGGTTTTTTGAGTTTGTGTTAAAATTATTGAAGCGTCGCGTTATAACTCATCTTGCATTGGAAATATGGCACTAGTACAATTCGTCGCAATCAATTCGTCGCACGATCAATTCGTCGCACGACAATTCGTCGCATACAATTCGTCGCAAAACAATTCGTGGCACATGTATTGTAGAGAATACATTGATTGAATTAAGTGATTTAGTTTAGAATGTTATCTAATTAATCGTCTTAACAAAAATGTTTCTTTACATTCTTAGGAGTCTTTTCGGAATACAATGTTTTTTGCAAAAATAAAATAAAGATATCAATTTAAAGTCTATTTTAAAATTTAATTTAAAAAATTGAAATTTGATTTTAAATAAAATTTTATGTAGATAAATGAAAAATACAACTCACTTTTTCCAACTGAAGTTTAACTTTTTATTTAAAAAAAGCTGAAAATTAAAACGAAAATATGAAATTGAAAACAAATCTTAAAAATCTAAATAAAAAATATTAAAGTTTTTTGTTTACTGAAAACATGAATTTTAGGGGTCAAACAAAACCAGAAAAATAAAAACTGAATTAACCACTAGTTTGTCTTAAAAAGATGATTTAAATCTGAATTAATCGATCACAGTTCTTAATTCAGTTTTAATTTTTCTAGTGTGTTTTGACCCCTTAATGAAAGAAAAATGAATTTTATTTTTTATTTGTCTACATATAATTTTATTTAAAATCAAGCTTTAATTTTTTTAAATTAAATTTTAAAATAGACTTTAAATTGATATCTTTATTTTATTTTTGAAAAAAACATTGTATTCCGAAAAGACTCCTAAGAGTGTAAAGAAACATTTTCGTTAAGACGATTAATTAGATAACATTCTAAACTAAATCACTTAATTCAATCACTGTATTCTCTACAATACATGTGCAACGAATTGTTTTGCGACTAATTTTATGCGACGAATTGTCGTGTGACGAATTGATCGGTCACCGGAAATATGACTTCGATTTTATACTTGGTTGAATATTAGGGGTAAGTACAAGATTTTTGTTTGAAATGTAATATTATGTTTTTGTTTAGATGATTGAGAGATGGAGGCATCCATGCGATTTACATTTTTTGTGTGAATCTCTTTTTATGTTTAGGTTCATCGAGAGTTCGTTTGGTGTGTTGTTTTGATTCAAATGTTAAGCGAAATGTACATGTGGATGATAGAAAACAGCGATAGAGGATTGATGTGTTTGATGTCAATGGTAAGTAGGCGGAACGCTTTTTTTAA